GCTATGATATAGAATCGATCATTGAGGTGTTTGCTGCGAACACCCTGTTTATCGATCCTTTCCCATAGGTTTAAATGACAGATTAATCGATATATCGCAAATCACGCCACACCACTGGTTCAGATGGGGAGCGTGAAACCCTGTTTATGGCAATTTTATTAGGATTCCCCGTTCGGCGCACATAAAAAAGTGATTGGTCTGCCTACGGGGAGAAAGGTAAAAGGGTGGAGTTTGACGGTACTAGCACTTTTTACCAAGAAAGAAGGATTCTGAGGGGTGCGCGGTTTTAATAATGAATGAATGCGCAAAATAGTCCATTGTGAACGATTAAAATCCCCTCTGACACCTTCGTTTCTCTATTTTATGTGCGTACAATAAAATGGTGCGTCGAATCAATCGCGCACCTCAGCCCCACTTCCAAGTAATGTGAATCCTCGGAGATCTCAAGCGTCTATAGTATCACCCCTGAATTGATTGATCGATTAGGTTGATTGTTTTGAAACAATTAAATCGTCAGGTTTTATCCTCGATGAACGGTGGAAAAAAGTTTAGTGCTTGGGAGTCGCACTTACCCATCAGTGCAGACAAATTCAAGCCCCCATTTTTACCAAAAGTCATGATCGCTTTTCTGTAGGCTGAAAAAAAAAACCCATCTGCACACTTTCGAGCCAGGCTCAGGGCTCACAATCAGTGGCAGAAGCAACAAGTAAAAACTCATAACTGAATGCACACATCATCAATTCAGAGTTAATTCTGCCAGAAGGAAGGTAATATATACTGGTACAGGTAACCATTCCCCTGACAGAGTCGACTTTGAATTCACGCTGTGTGAAATACAGCGTGAACGAATGGTAAATTCTACCAATCTTTTTTCTTCAGTGAGGTTTAACCCTGCGTCAACAGTGTTTCTTTGGGGGGGGGGGNCGGGAAGAAATTACTATTTTCGGGGGGCATGTTTGAGTCAGGTGGTTGTTTGGCAACTATGCGTTAGATTCGGGATCCCTTTCCTGGTGAATTTCAGATTCATTTTAAGGTTGCGCTCCTGCTCAGTGCTCCTCTCATTTTATATTTTGCTCATTAGCCAAGCCTCTTACGCTTCCTTGCCCTTACCAGTCTCTCATTCCGTCCCGTCATGTCTTTTATTATTTATTAAACTGAATTGTGTTTTACGCCAGTGAATTTACAATAGGGTGCAGATTTCTTTGCTCCTTCCCTCTTTGCTTTTCAAGCAGCCCCGCTCCAAAAATAGCTGAAGGGAAAGGATTTCCCGCCGCTTTCTCTTGCAGATATCCATTTTTAATTTCTTCCTCGTTTCACGGTATGCTTATTTTGGATTTCCTTCCTTTTTTGACATTTTATTTCCTAAATGAAGAATAATTTTGCAGCTGTGCTATATACTTTGGCCCGGAGTCCTTAAAAAACTTAACTTGGAGTCACTTTCTGTGATGAAGTTCCTACTCTCACTCCTCAATCCTTTCATCACCCATTGTGTGTTGGTTTATATTTAAACAGCTATCGGCAAAATTCCATGATGAATTTTGAAAATAATTGGATACTTTTATTTCAAAACTCACTTCTATCAGCCTCTGTTTATGCTCGTTTTTTTTCTTTTTTTCATGTCACCAATAATTTAGCGGAACTTATTTTCCAACAATCATTAATGCTCAGCATTTAAATTTTATTTGGTAATGAATTATGGAGTTTTTTGTCTTGTTTTTGTTTTCAAAAGAATCCAAAATAGTGACAATAGTATGAAAAATCCTGATCCCAGCAATCTATGCAATGTATTTGACAATCGAAAAATAGAGTGATCGAGAATCTGGAATACATATAGTCATAACCGGAGAAAAGACAAGCTTTAATATGCCGCTGCCCTCTGATGCAGTGTGAGTTTCCTTCCCTACTTTATGCAGACACCTCCCTAGAAATTTGTCTATTTTACATGTATTTCTTTCTTTAAAACATTTTTTGAATAACATTTGAAAACAATATCTAAGTATGTGGAGGCGTCTGGTATCGTTTAACTACTGTAACACTTTCTCTGCCTCAGAGAAACCCTGTCAATAACACACTTTGTTACAGTCATGATCTTCGTACAAGTTTCCAATAGGAGCACCACACGCGTTATGTTTGTATTAACTGATATTTATCGATAAATCAATTTTAATAGCGGAATTTATCGATCATTGTCATTCGAAAAATTATATATACAATTTCCATAATCAATCTATACAAAAGGTAGATGGGATACATAGCTCGGGGATCACCAACCCGTCCTGCCGAGTAGGTCGAAAAAAAGTATCCTCTGAAGCACAAAACGTGATAAAATGCATATCCACGAGGTAAATTGGAAAAGAGACCGATCGGCTACTGTAATGATCAATCAAACAGCCACATATTGTTTTTTTGCATAAGCGTCAAGCATCTTTCACTCTTGTTGCCTTCCATTTTGCCCAGCGGGATTTTTTCTCCTAATTTCTTGCCTCGACATTGCAATTCGTTTTAATTGTTTAATTCCTCCAATAAACAGGTATATACCCCATGTTGCGAGGGTGCACCTTTTAAAAAAAGCTGTGCACGAAAAAAATTAAAAATTATAAAAATCAAGATTTTTTTTTTTGCATGATCAAGATTTTTTTTTTGCATGAGCAAGAATCAAAGGAATGAAGTCCTGACAACACAGATGATGTCAAACGAATTGGATTTAAAGGGATTTTATTTTCATTGTGGTTATTTTAAGCGGTTAATGAGCACGTAAATGCCTCTTTTACACCTCCTCGTGCCTCGTGACTTACTGCGCGATTGGAAGTAACAAATTACGAGTGATTCAATCAAGTCTCGAAGCTTTCAAAAAGAAAAAAACTCACCAATGTGTTATCAGTTTTTCTCCGAAAAAAAAAATAAAATAAAAGTATTGCCAAAATTTAAGCAGAATTTGCTACAAATCGCTTTGTTTATCGTTATTCTTGACTTCTTTCAATAACAACTGAAAGAAAAGACGGCGATCAAAGCATCTGCACTAAGGATGTATAATAATCTAGATCCCACTAGAACTATAAAAACATCGAGAACCATACGAATCAAAACATATTGTCGGTAAGAAGAACATATTTTGAAAGCTTCGGAGAAAACATAGGGAAAAGCTCCCAATTCGCTCGGAAAAAAAACTTACTAAATTCTGCCAAACGTTCAAGCAGAATTCGCCTCAAATCCTCTCGAAGATTGCTTTCCCAAACTGACTCCTCCGTAAAAAACGACGAGGAGAGCTACAATCAAAGCATTTTCCCTCAAGATATAAAATAGTTGAAGTCATAAAACTATGAAAATCGAGAACCACATGCTCCAAAGCGTTTTGTCGTAAAGAGGAACATCTTTTGAAGGGCTCGAAAAAAAAACGTGGGGGAAAGCTCTCAGTTTTATTCGGGAGAGAAGCACAAGAAATGAAATTTTAAGAGGGGAAACCGGGGGAACGCCGGAACACAGAAGCGTCAAATTTGAGCAGTAAAACACTAACGAGACATCATAAACAACTTTACAGTTTGTGATTATCCAAATCTTGTTCCGATTGTGCGATTGGCGACGGAACGGTGACGGATGAACGGGAGTAAAAGTGAAGGGTACGGAATCTCGTTAACTTTTTATGTTCCAATCATGGCGTTCCGTTCCAGCGCTTTCCCGGGACGCTCGGTGCCATTTTAATACGTTCGCGCGTCCGAGGCACCCCGGAGCCGCTTTTCGCACGGTTACGAAAAATCACTTCTTAATTAGACGTTTGCTGAATCGATTCCGCTGTTCATTTCCCCGTCGCTGAATCGCTCAGTATTTGCTTTTCTATCATTAATTAGCGTCCGTTCCTTTATTCATTCGACTCTCATGAATATTTGATGGTGGGGGTTATGCAAAGGAAAAACCTTTTTTTGTGTTTCCCGCGTTTCCGCCTGCCCGCGCGACTTCTCCTGATTAACATGGTGATGCCAAATCCTTCTTTTGCCTTCCATCGAGTTCAAATTGCTGGTAACAAACTTCGCTTTGAATCGGAATGGAGTCTCTCAAATGAGTAGACCAATAACAGTTAAACCGATTCTTTCAGAAAGGAAGGGGAAAAAAATATTGACCACACCATCTTGCAGAGAAATCAAAGCTAGAAATACCGAAAATATAATGTGACTTACAAAGTTAAATCTAATGTAGGTAACTCTAACTATGTGTTTGTCATTTTTGCCTTTGATTTCCTATCAGATTTACCTAGATATTATTGATTACCTACTATATTTTCATTGAGGCCATATCCATAAATTACGTAAGGCACTTAGGGCGGAGGGAGGGGTCTCTAACAGTCTTACGGTGCCTTACGAGGAGGCAGGGGAGATGGGGCTGAGCTTTACGTAAGCTTCACAGCCTATATTTAAAGAAAATTCAAAAATCCATTTTTCGTCAGGTTGATAATAAAATTCAAGATGAAATGGAGGAAATCAGCACATCACCGATTGCTGATCGATCGGACCCTGCTCCTTTCATTTCTCTTTCATTCACTTCTTCACTCCGTGGGATGATGAGGAGTGACTTCATCCTTATGTCAACTTTATACTTTTAACTATTCCAAAGATTAAAAAAATCTTCAATTTTGCTCCACGTATTTCTGTTTATTAAACTAATTGTATCGTTGATATTTCCTATGAACTTACTTCAAAAATTTAGTTTCACCGGTAAAAATTTTGGCCTAAAAGTTTCATTCTTTTTCTAAAAGAAATCATAATGCTTAAATATGCGATAATTGAAAAAGAGAGAGGGGGGCGTTACTGGAGCCTTATAATTTTTAGATGGGAGGGGGCACGGGATGCTTTACGGTGCCTTACGAGGAGGGAGGGGGTATAAAAATGGGACAAATTGCCTTACGTATTATACGGATGGCCCTCTTCCACATCATTTTTAATTATTTCTTACTTGTAAACAAAAGCTTTAATATCTCTAATGACTTGAACTTTTTTGTTCGGTTTTAGGCTGATCCGCAACTGGAGGAAGGGAGAATGAAATAGCTGGTATGTTAAAAACGTATTTTTAATCTAGTCAATTGGTTACTGTATAATTTGCGTTCTGTATGCAGAAGGGTAAACGTGTGAAGCATATGATAGCATCAAGCCCTCTAGTTTTAGATTTGCCAAAACTCGCAAGGTATAAAATTAACCGTTGTTCTGGTATTACGGCCCTATCATGGAGAAGAAAGAATCATTGTTCTTACAATGCCCACAGTGGATTCCAGGTCCCACCTACTTTTCTAGTCGTAGGTACAATGGTAAAATGGTACAAAACCGCAATGGTACAATGTGGGTAAAAACTATTTCAATCCCGGTGACAATGCAGCATTACTATTGAGACTGAACTATTTGTCACCACAGAATAGTAAATGCAACGATTCTTTTCTCTGCACGCAGTTGAGCATGACTCTAGTACGGAAGTGCTGCGCTGGAGCTTGCGCTATGGCTGGTAAAAAGCAGGTAGTCTGAAAGTGGTGGCACCTCAATTCTTGTCGTAAATATTGTATAAACTTCAGCGCTCGCAAATACCCTTCTGTAATGAAGATACAGTTCAAAATGCCGAACCCGCCTGCTTGAAAGAGAAACGGTATCGAAATTATTTTTTATTACAACTATGCTCCAAATTGGTGGGTTTTTCATAGGATTAGTAATTAATCAAAGGGATCTGGAATATTCCGCAGCCCTGAGCTTTTGTCATTCTTTCCACGCTGATTGCTCCAGCTTTTTTCCTTTTAATTACTGCCATTCCTGCAGCAGCCCAAAGCTTCGAAGTCATGGATGTCAAATCGCCCGACGAGAGGAATAATTGTTTGACTGCCTGACATTCAGTGAAGTTAATTTCCCGGTCCTAAAACTGGCAAACGGGAAGAACCAGCGCGCTGACGCTCATTTTTTAATGAGCCCCACTCTGTTTTTCGCGCACACGGCGAGACATTTGCCTCCCTCGCCCCAAACTCGGCAGCAGCCAGCTTACCGCAAAAATTTGCAAGTGGCTTGTCACTATTAAAAAAATACTTCACAGCAGCGGTGGAACATTTTTTATTAATTCGTTTTCGAGGCTCTTTAATTCAACCGCTCTCTGCTGTCTTTCTCCACCGCTAACAACCTCTCCTCTCCTGTACAGCTCTCTAACCAACCCTCTCTCATTTAGCGTCACTTTGAATTCGGCCTCCTCCTTCTCCCCATTATCACATCCATTACCATCATTTCCCCCTTCCTGAAAATATAACCTCTCATCAGTATAAAGACAAGAAGGAATCAAGTTTACTATGAGCCTTTTTCGGCTCCTTAATACATTACACCTTGTTTTATTCTATTTTCCGGAGGAAATTGAAAGTCAGCTTTTAAAGGCGTTGAAACAACTGAGTACTCTTCTTAATTGTGAATTCTGCCATAACTACGCACTTAATGGTCCAAACATACGCTGACTACTTTTGAAACAAACTTCACGGGAAAAATGTGTTAGGGATCGTACCCTAAAATTATGGTATTACTCCAATTTGTTTGACGATATAGTCATTTCCAATTGGATTGCATTTTGCAAAAAGGAACCAGGAGCTTTGCAATGTTGCTAAGATTGTGCAACTTCTTTTGTCTTGGAAGAAAACCTGCTTATCCATCAACAGTTTCTATTTTACTCGCTAAAAACTTTAAATTTTAGACAAAAATTACCATGTAAATTTCATATTTTTTTCATTATTTCAGTAATTTTATTGCAAAGAATGATGTTGCACAATCTTAGCATCATTAAAATGCTTGTGCCATTTGCGTGCTTGTGTAAAAGACACTTAACTATAAATAATAAAGTTAGTAGCACACCTTAAACACACATTATATTTTCCTTTCACAAATCTATTTTTTTTTTATCAATTTAAATTAAAGTAATCCATGCAGAGTGTGCAAAACTTTAAAAATCATGAGTTGAAAAACGCTGATTATGCGAATTTAAATAATAGAGCCTAGCATAAAGCGGAGTGACGCGAGTGCTGCACGCTGCACGCTGCACTGCTGCCAGCACGCAACGCGCACTGGCGCCTACAAACCTAAGGGGATACTTCATGCATTTCGCAATGCTTGAAGTATCCCCTTAGGTTTGTAGGCGCCAATGCGCGTTGCGTGCTGGCCGGCCGGCCGCCCACGTTCGTGAGCACGTTCTCTCAAAAATAATCAAAGAAAAAAAGTGGCTCAGTAAAATGTTGACTCAATTAATAAGGTGCGCAAAGGTTGATAGGACTGAAAGATAAACCATGTGAGATTTCAGCAGTGTTTAAGTAAATTCATGTATTTGAAATTAAAATAGTAAACCGGATCGAAAGATATTTCCCTATAAAAGGGTGGTTCCCTGCACGTAAGAAAAGTATTGATGAAGATTTTTCTATAACTGGTCAGTTAGTAAAGTAGCACTTCACGAGTTCATGGAAGCTCCGGATTCCAAACGTGGTTGCTATCCGACACAAAAAACTGAAGTCAATTATATTCTGCCCCAGTTTTCTATTACCAATTTATTACGTTTTTGTTCTGAAACCGCGAGCGAAGCACTTAAATTGAGATTTGCGCTGGAAGGTTTTTGAGTGGCAGGTGTCGAAATACCAGTTGACTCTGAAGCTGACGTCCGGGTGGAATTGACGCTTTTGCAATTTCAGTGACTCTTGCAAACCTCGAGTTTCACCGCAGTCTTTAAATACTACCATCGATAAAATGTCCATCCCATTTGTTTATTCATTGGGAAAAAACACATTGGATCTAGAGTCCAGACTCTTAAAAACATCGACAAGAATAAATACTCTTGATTCAATCAGATTTAAGCTCAAATCAAGAACCAAGCTTCTTAATTTGAGCGGATTTCCTTTCGATTTAAGCTTAAATCTGATTGAATCAAGAGTCCTTTTTCTTGTCCATGTTTTCAAGAGTCTGGACTCTAGATCCAATGTGTTTTTTTCCTAGTGTTTGTACATTTACATTTTGTAGGTTTTTTCACTATTTTGAAGCATTATCAACGCACTTTTTTAAAAATGAGGAAAAGTGTTTTAAAAGTGTATGTCCTTGGAAATTTTAAAACCACCTAGTGCGACACGCAAAAAAAAAAAAAAAAAAAAAAAAAAAGTCATGTTTATCGCCAATATTTGTTTGATTTATGGGCATGGCTACTAAAACTTAGCATTGATCCTCGTTGGTGAATGTCTCATGGTTAATTCTCTAAATTTTATTACCTAGAAAAGTACAATGATATACCTATTTAGAAACTATACATTTTGTTTAAAAAGCTACGTTTACGAATTGTATTCTAATGTAAAACCTAATTATAATAAGAAACACCACCCTACACAGATATTTGGATTTACTTTTGATGGTGCGCCTTGCATATTTTTAAATATTGTATCAAAGGGATCAGGTGGTGAAAAAATTGCGGTTATTATTGCATAATTAAACGCAGACCTTAAGAGGCGATTAAAAGCACACTCAAGGCGAGGAAATTATTATCCTGTCATTAGGAAGAAAGTGTACGTAATTGGTACGTCGTTATGCCCCCTCCAGTGCCTCCCCTCCTTCGGCTCCAGTGTTGTGATTTCGAAACACCGAATAACACAATTTCAGGTAAAGTCGGAGAACAGATAGCTTGATCTGCAACGTTGCAAATATCTCATAAAGTTCCATTTTTTTCGGACAAAATAAATCACGTTTCTCTTGAAATATCTGTCTACTGGTCCTTCTTCCTCAGCTGCAAAATATTCTGTGAAAACAACGAGTAGTAAGGAGATTCCATTTTTCTAAAAAAAATAATAGAACTGCTGGAATTTTTAAAAATTGCGATTAAGATGCGTGTCTGTCGACTTTCAGCATCAAATTGCTCCGGGAGTTCACGGCGTAGCAGACAAAAGTATGTACGTGGTTTCATAAGTTCATCCAGGAAAGTTTACTTGCGAGCTGCCACCCACCAGGCTGATAAATTCATCTCGAGAAATTTCAGTAAAATTACTCCCGTAATCGAGAACCGATTTGACTAGTCCATTATTTTGATTGAAAGATCCCTTTTAGTTAAAAAAGCATTTCGACGGTGAAACTAGCAGACCACGTATCTCGGCCTGCGACGTTGCAGATTTCCTGTCATACTTCATTTTTTAAGTGCGCAACTATTCAGCATCAATTCTTGAAAACGCCTACGATTTATCTTCACTGTTTGTAGAAAACCCTGTGAAAACTTCAAGGAATACTATTGCTTTGTTCTCTTCCAAAAAAGTAAAATGGGAGCAACGGAAAAAAAGTGAAGTTGATTTGACATTCTGGATATAAAAAAAGAGTGCGAGAACTTATAAAATGCTGAATTACAAGCTACTGCAGTTACTTCAGCAATGCAAAGATGTAAAACTAACTGATGTGGCGGAGAATTCAGCATTTTATAAGTTTTCGCACAATGTTTTTCCACCCAGAATGTTAAATCAACTTCCTGTTTTTTTTTCGATGAACGGAGATTTTTGAAAACTGTTGCTATTATGAGAGATTTTTTCTATAATTATGAAGAGGCAACATTTTTATAAAACTGTAATCGCGCTGGTTCCTTTTCGCTGAATGCGATCCATATGTTGGGTGCTCGAGTGCGACAAACACTCATTTTAACTCCTGGATGCAACTATTCGAGCTCCACGGATGTCCATGTTGCATATACACGAAAGTGAAGGCGTTTTGACTAACTAGATACGTGATCTGGTAGTTTCACCGTGATTTACGGTACTTATCAGCCCCCGAGTTTTGGAAGTTATGCAACGTGGACGTCATGTACTAGCCTGTTGTGGCGGATCTCTCAAGTGGGCATTGCGTGTCAAGTCGTTGGCCGACGACGCTGCAAAAACTGAGGAGGAACAAGAAAAAAAGGCATTCGTGTTGTTGACCCGTTATCACCATCTCCCCGATCCGTCGGCGAAGGAACTAAGGAAACTTATGTTTTCCTTCCGCGTCAAACCGCTCCCTCCCCGCCGCCGCTACCGCCGCGCCGCCACCCGCACCCT